ATTTTTCTAGTTTCATGACAATAACTTGTGTGCAAGTCTATGGATCTCTCTGACATTGTATCACATGGTTCCATATCACAAAGGGAATGCTGGGATTGAATTTGGGGGTAATTGCCTCCAAATTTTAGGAATTAGGGGCCAAAAAGGGGCAAAAAACAAGCATTTTTCTAGTTTCATGGCAATAACTTGTGTGTAAGTGTATGGATCTTTATGAAATTGTACTACAAGGTTCCATATCACAAAGGGAAAGCTGGAATAGAGTTTGGGGGTAATTGCCCAAAAAGTTAAGGAATAAGGGGCCAAAAATAAGCATTTTTTTAGTTTCCAGACAATAACTTGTGTTCAAGTGTATGGATCTCTCTGAAATTGTACTGCAAGGTACCATACCACAAAGGGAATGCTGGGATTGATTTTGGGGGTAATAGCCTCCAAATTTTAGGAATTAGGGGCCAAAAAGGGGCAAAAAACATGCATTTTTCTAGTTTCATGACAATAACTTGTGTGTAAGTCTATGGATCTCTCTGACATTGTATCACATGGTTCCATATCACAAAGGGAATGCTGGGATTGATTTTGGGGGTAATTGCCTCCAAATTTTAGGAATTAGGGGCCAAAAAGGGGCAAAAAACAAGCATTTTTCTAGTTTCATGGCAATAACTTGTGTGTAAGTGTATGGATCTTTATGAAATTGTACTACAAGATTCCATATCACAAAGGGAAAGCTGGGTTTGAGTTTGGGGGTAATTGCCCTAAACGTTTAGGAATTTGGAACCAAAAAGGGGCCAAAAAACAAGCATTTTTCTAGTTTCCAGACAATAACATGTGTTCAAGTGTATGGATCTCTCTGAAATTGTACTGCAAGGTACCATACCACAAAGGGAAGGCTGGGATTGAGTTTTGGGGTGATGAATCATAAGGGGGTTCAAAAAATTTGGGGGGGGGGATTCTTTTTCCTTTTTTTTCTTTAAAATTTTCCATTTTAAATTGGTTATTTCTGATTTATATATAAAAGCAAATAATAATGATATGGTTTGAATAGGTAAATTAAATTTTTTTAAGTATCTTAGACCACTTTCATTCTGTGTCAGAAACCTATGCTGTGTCAAATATTTAATTACAATCCAAATTCAGTGCTGAATCAAGCTTGAATGTTGTGTTCATACTTGCCCCAACTGTTCAGGGTTCGACCTCTGCGGTCGTATCAAGCTGCGCCCCAGCGGAGCATTTTATTTCATGCATTAATTACTTTATGCTTGGAAATATAATTTTGCTTGGAGTTGAAAGAGTTGACATGTTGCAATGTACATTTACTCTACATAGTTCTATGGTACCAAATCAAAAGTTTATATAAAGAAAGATTTAGATCATTATATAAATAAGGAGATGTGTTATGATTGCCAATGAAAAAACTAAGGATTTTCTTATCCAAGGAATAGATTTCCTTAGCCGTATTTGGCACAACTTTTTGGAATTTTGGGTCCTCAATGCTCTTCAACTTTGTACTTGTTTGGCTTTGTTACTATTTTGATCTGAACGTCACTGATGAGTCTTATGTAGACGAAACACACGTCTGGCGTATTAAATTATAATCCTGGTACCTTTGATAACTAATTTGACTATAAACAGATAAAAAAGGTACAAACTGGACATAATGCACTAGTTCATAAACAAGTGAGAACAATCGCCTTCATATAGTGCTCAGAATATGACATTCATAAAACTTATTCAATATCATTAGAGAACTCTAAATCTTAAATACTGAAAGCCACCTCTGATAAGTACACTGTACTATGCAAGATAATGATATAACTGGACTTAAAATACACACAACCTGTAATTAACTGCCTTTACAGCGCTTTCGTGCTTTGATTGATTATGGGACCAGTTTTCAAGTTTGTCCAAGTTGGGGTCCAAAATTAAACTTTGTTTGATTTCAACAAAAATTGAATATATGGGGTTCTTTGATATGCTGAATCTAACCATGTATTTTGATTTTGGACATTGGACCATAATAGGTAAATTAAAAAAATTGAAGTTCTAAGACCACATTCTTTCTGTGTCAGAAACCTATGCTGTGTCAAATATTTAATCACAATCCAAATTCAGAGCTGTATCAAGCTTGAATGTTGTGTCCATACTTGCCCCAACTGTTCAGGGTTCGACCTCTGCGGTCGTATCAAGCTGCGCCCAGCGAAGCATTTTATTAAAAGAGTTATGCCCCTGTGGACAGATAAAATATGTGCTATGGGAGGGACGTTAGAACTCTTTTAATTTTATGTTTAAATCATTATAACTTGAGAACAGTTAGTGACACATGGGGTCTTCAGTAATAATCAATGGACCATATGGACTACTTCAAGATTAAAAGGTCAATGATCACTAATGACCTCGACCTTTGACCTTGAACATTATGTTTCAATTTTACATAAACATATTTTTAAAAATTGGATAATGTAAAGAAATGAAAATGTTCAAATTTGTCAAAAAAAAGCTTAAAAACGTTGATGATGTATTTTTGGCTTTCAAGTCAATAATACAACTTATTTGAATCCATATTCATGCCAACTTCAATTTAACCCTTAACTGGGATGGGCTATGCAAGGGATAAGCATGTTTAGTTATTGAAAAGAAAAGAATGTCAACATTGAAAAGTGAAACAAGGCAGCCACCATGAGTGTCCCTTTTATTGACTGATTTTTCCCACAAAAAGTCATTCAAATACAGGTAAAACAATGATTTGCATATTTTGTTTTATCTATGACATCATCATTGTCATTCATTGACATGAAATCAAACAGACCTAGAAAAATTGTCATTATACGTTTGCACATGCTTGCCTGTGTATTTATATTTATAGTTATGTTTACATCAGGTCATATGACCTAAGAAATTCTTCTGAGATCATCTCTATGGTTAATTAGATGGCATCTATTTTATATATAAAATATACACGAAATGTTAAAACATTCTAAAGTGTCCATGCATTGTAAAATGTTTATTTAGGACTTTTTATTGTAATTTGAATAAACGTTTGAGTATGTTATAAATAAAATATGAGATTTTGAGTCAAATCAGTGAACTTGAATTTAACAGCTTATGCCCCTTTAAACAGTGGCACAAGCAAGTCTGATGAAAGATCATAACTTTATTGTAATGAATTAAACATGGCTAAAAGATTACAATTATTTAGAAAGCAATTTTCTGTGAAGACTAGCAGTAAGTATAACAAGTTGAATTAGGTTGATTAATGAAATATTTGTGCATTTTGTCTCAGTTATGGTGGCAAAGGAGAATAACTCTAATTTAAATTACGACAATGGAAATTATCTATTTTGTACAATTTATTTTAAACACAAAAGAATGTTTGATCCATTGTAAGAAGTTGTATTCACTTTAGTAAGATAAAAACAATGAAGGCCTGTATTCACTTTTTGGTCCCCTGCGCAATGCGTTGCAGGGCACATAGAAATACCGGGCGTCTGTCCGTCCATCCGTCCGGTTTTGTTAGTGCTCTCACATGTACAATTCTTGCTAGATTTTTATGAAACTTATATCCAAGGTTTATATCAGCAATGTCTTGGACAAGTTCGAAAATCAGTTCCGATCAATTATTTTTAAAAGAGTAATGCCCCTTGGAAACATTAATTATATGGAAAATTGCATTGTTAGTGCTCTCATTTGTACAATTCTTGCTAGATTTTTATGAAACTTATATCATAAGTTTATATTAGCAATGTCTTGGATGAGTTCGAAAATCAGTACCGATCAATAATTTTTAAAAGAGTTATGCCCCTTGGAAACATTAATTATATGGAAAATTGCATTGTTAGCGCTCTCATGAGAACAATTCTTGCCAGAATTTTATGAAACTTTAATCATAGGTTTATATTAGCAATGTCTTTGACGAGTTCGAAAATCAGTGCCGATCAATTATTTTTTTTGAAGAATTATGTCCCTTGGAAATATTAATTATTTAGAAAATTGCCTTCAATGAGTGCTCTAATGTGTACAATTCTTGCCAGATTTTTATGAAATTTATATTATAGGTTTATATCATCATTGTCAGATGTCTTTGGTGTGTTCAAAATCAGTGCCGATCAATTATTTGTAAAAGAGTTATGCCCCTTGGAAATATTGATTATATGAAAAATTGCATTGTCAGTGCTCTCAAGAGTACAATTATTGCCAGATTTTTATGAAACTCATATCATATGTTTATTTCAGCAATATCTTTGACACTTTTTTAGAATAAGTGTTGATAAAATATTTTGAACGCGTTATACCCTTGAAAATATTAATTATAATGGAAATCACATTGCATTTGCTCTGAAGCCTTCATTTCTCTAAGATATTAATAAAAAGTTTTAAAGAACCAAAAAAAGTGCTTCTTTAGTTATTGCCCTTATTGGAAGGATAAAATATGTGCAACGTGGGGGACATTGGAACTCTGTTCTTTTATTAATTTGATGTTTTAGATGTTCGGTTTATTTACTTTGTAGTGTAAAACTTGATTAATTTTTTAAGTTTTCAAAAAAGAAAATTGATATGATAACTTTTGTTCATAATTTTATTTATTTCTATAATATTGCATGTATAATTGAGGGTCTGGATGGAGTTTACAGAACAGAGAATTGTTGGCAAAAAGTGCAGAATAAAGGTCCAAAATAAAGAATAGAGAAAAATAGGCAAAAAATTAAAGACTAGAGAATAATGGGGTTCTTAGATATAAAGAAGAGAGAATAAGGGGAAAATAAATGAAGATTAGAAAAAAAATGGTCCAAAAGAATTAAAGAATAAAGAAATAAAGGACACCTCATTCAGACCCTTATGATTGCTACTTTAGGTACATATGTTCCAATTGTTGTCTTTGTCATCTTAATGCATATTTTGGTCCTTTTAAAGTTTGATGATTAGTAATTTTAAAGTTTTCAGTTACTTTAGATGCATGATAATTGATCTTGTTCCAAATTAGAGAGGAATATTTTGATTTTCTTTTTCAGTGCTTCCATACAGAACTAACACAGCCATTATTATAAATGGATTTGTCTTTTTGATAGGTAATAATTTGATAGTTCTATTCTGTGAGTTAAAAGAATTGTTTCATATATATAGAGTCAAATCTTTATTTGTCATTAAAAAAAAACTTGCTGCATATGAGAAATTACTTTTTTTATCAAAGTTGAAAGTATGAAACTTCGAAAAGCATGCATTACATCCACTTCATTTGAACTTTGGTGGATAGTTGTCTCATTGGCAATCATGCCACATATTTTTATATTAATTTATTTGGTTTTTTTTTAAATGATAGATATATTAATAATGCTTAAATTTATATATAACTTTGTATTAAAGGTCCCATAATGATACAATGACCTGTAAAAAAAAATGAATTTATATAAACTTGAGAGCAGTTTATTGAAGTATGAATTTTTTTTTTGTCAATTACTTGCTACTTTGGTCTTTTTAGCTCACCTAGCCCAAAAAACCAGTGTAAGCTATTGCAAGTTATGGTTCTTGATTGAAGGACAATTTAAAATAAATAACCAAAACTTTTAGAATTATACCAGAGTTGTATTCCTTTTTTATATGAATTTACTTTTTTATACGCCCTTTGACAGGACGTATTATGGTATACAAATGTCTGGTGTCCATCTGCCTGTCTGTCTGTCCATCTGTCCGGCGTCCACATGTCGCACCGTAACTTGAGAACGACTTATCCAAATTTCATGAAACTTATCATAGTTGTTTCTTATGAGGGTCAAACGATCTGTATACTTTTTGGTGAAAATAAGATTAAAACTTTTTGAGTTACGGGACTTTGTAACTAAAACGGGGGGGGGGGTGTTTTTTTTCACATGTCGTGCCGTATCTCTAAAACAATTGATGATTATTGCTTAAAACTTTACACACTTCTTAGTTATATTAATCTAAAGATCTGTATACTTTTTGGTGATGATTCAAAATTTTATTTTAGAGTTATTGATTTTTTTATAAAAAAAGGGGGGTTTCACATGTCGCGCCGAATCTCAGAAACGATTTATGATTATTGCATAAAACCTCACACAATAGACGACGGGCGTATCATGTACTTGAGGTTTGTTTAGATTGTTGATTTAACATCAGCATTCAGGTGAGCACCTGACTTGAATTGAAATAAGTAAAAGACAAAATTTAGGTAAGGTCTATTTGAATGGTCATCATTGCACTCCACTTTTTTCATAATATTTATATAGAATATTTGAGGGTATTCAGGAAATTTTCATGCATATACACTGACTTTGAACTATGAGAAACATACTACAACATCTTATAAAATTTTACAGAATGCTGCAACAGAAACAGAATCATGATCTCTTAGTCCCTGCTGGGTGGGGTGGGGGTGGGAGGGTATCTGTAATCACTAGATCACCTCTCTAGTTGAATAGTATATGGTATTTGGATAGGGTGTATGAATACAGGAGATGTATTTTTTGCAATGAAAAATCCTTCTTTGTTTGTTGAAGAAAAAAAAATCCTTTTCCACCCATCATCTTTATAATGATGATGATTGTCAAGAAAAAAGATTAGCAAACATTTTAAAATTTAAATATTCAAAGAATTTGCTTCAAAAATTAAAAATATCTCTATCTTTGGACAATAGAAAGATCACTTTATACCAGGATTATAGGAATGAAAATTACTCTATGCCACCCTACAGCCAATCATTTTCAGAGTAAAAATCAGGAACATATCATTAGGAGTCAGAAAAAAAGTACATATTTTAACATGGAATTGTCCTCCAAAACAACCATTTTGCAGGTAAATTTTGGGAGGCAAAGATCTAAGTTTCAAGCCTATTTAATTCTTAGTCAAAGGTTAACTGAACAACTACCAGTTCAAAATTAACTTTATTTAGAGAAATCTATATTTTATGTATATAATGGTAATGTCTTCTGTTTAAAAAAAGTAAAATTGAAACTGAACTTGATTTGATGAAAATATAGAATTGCAATTTAAATGAAATATATGTAGTTAGTGACCAACTGATGGTGACACACATTTAGCTCATTCTACTGAAAAATTTGCTGATCTTTTTATATGCCTATTTACGGGACGTATTATGGTATACCGTTGTCCGTCTGTCTGTCCGTTGTCAACATGTGGAACATTAACTCAAAAATGATTTCACCAACTTGCAAGAAATTGTGGTGAATTGTTTATATCTATTGACATGAGCTCCCTTTCGATTTTTATAAATTTTAGATTTTACGTTTCTTAGTTACAGGGTTTTATTCATAAAAAAAGGGGGGATTTTCCAGTTTTCGGACAAAAACTCAAAAATGCTTTCAGTTATTCTTATGAAACTTTGGTGAATTGTTTGTATGAATTGATGTAAGCTCCCTTTAGAATTTTATAAATTTTACCTTTTACATTTCTGAGTTATGGGGTTTTATTCATTAAAAAAAGGGGTGATTTTCCAGTTTTCGGACAATAACTCAAAAATGCTGTCACCAATTCTCATGAAACTTTGGTGAATTGTTAATATCTATTGATGTAAGCTCCCTTTTTATTTTCATAAATTTCTAATATGACATTGAGAATTAATTGAACTTTATTTGTTTATAGTCTGACAACAGATTTACTAAGTATTGCACAACAGCAAGAAATCTTTAATTGAATATAAATTCAATTCATATAACCAATTTCAAGTTCTTTGACTTCATTTATTCAGAAACCTATAATATGTCAAATATTTAATTACAATCCAAATTCAGACCTGAATCAAGCTTGAATATTGTGTCCATTTTTGCCCCAACTGTTCAGAGTTGGACCTCTGCAGGCGTATCTAGCTGCACTCAGCGAAGCAGTTTATTAAAGAAATGTAGCTGTATGCAACAGTACTTATTTTTATTATATGAAGTTTTTTTGTCCATCACCATACCTCATGGAAAACGAAAATATGATATGAAATTATGTAGTCAACACTAACAATCTTTCCACAAGTGATTTCCATCGCTTTGTATGCATAAAATAAACTAAGATACTGTTGATTATTTTCTGAAAAACCCCCAACTTAAACCACTAAGTACTTTTACATATCAGGATAAAGATGCTCCTGCTTATCTATATCCTACAAACCAGTAAAAGACTGAAATGGCCTATATCTGTACTCAACTGTACTGATTTATTACTCGACCAGTCTGAATTGGTCTGAATTTTACTTGATATTACTTGACCCCAATCTTAACCATACTCGACTATACTGATTTGTACTTGACCTTATCTTAGCCATTGACAAAAGTCTGTACTATTACTCGACCAGTCTGAAACAGTCTTAACCCATTCTGGACCAGTTCTCGACCTATTTTTATGACCCTGCCGCTAGGTGTTGTGGGCATTAAGTGTTACCCATGTCCGTCCCGTATGTCCGTCTGTCCGTTTGTCCACAAAAATTGGTTTCCGTTCTCTAACTTTAGTACGCCTCAACCAAATATTATAAAACTTATACACAATGCTTATTTCCACAAAACACAGATCAAGTTTGAAATTGGGTGGCGTCACTTTTACTATTCATGAGTTGTGCCCCTTTATAAACATAAAAGTTGCTAAATCTGTTGTTTCTGTTCTTTAACTTTAGTTTGCCTTAAACCAAATGTTATGAAACTTATACACAATGCTTATTACCACAAAACACAGATCAAGATTGAAATTGGGTGGCGTCACTTTTACCATTCATGAGTTATACCCCTTTATAAACATAAAACTTGCTAAATCTGTCGTTTCCAATCTCTAACTTTAGTTTGCTTCAACCAAATGTTATGAAACTTATACACAATGCTTATTACCACAAAACAGTCTTAACTACATGAGTCCTGCATCTGTATGTGGAAGTTGACTCATGCATATTTACAAGCAGGGCATCTGTGTCTAATTTCAACTGTTTATATAACTATCTTTTTATCTGACATGACAACAGCCACAATAAAGTAAAGAAATATTTACAGACTTTTACATTCTAAAATAATTATCACATTTATCAAATCGAGATAGTCAAATTATCTAGTTTTTAAGTCTGAGTCTTGGTAAAAAAAAAGACTGAAAAACACACCTGTACTGAGGGTAATAAAACCTTATTAAGGTGATCCTTGTTTGCCATTTTTTTTTTAACAAAAATTAGTCTTGTTAATTCACCTAAATTCTTAAATGAAAACTACATTAGATTTCATGGTTACATAAAATAGATATATTACTATCTTTTTTAACTTAACTAACAACAGACAACTAAATCACTTAAATTGTTTAACCTTATATTAGAAATATATCTATTCTTATTATAATTTGGCATATATATATATATTTTTTTCAGCTGATCTGAAAAGTACACCATCTACTTGCCACTATACGTCATGTACTGTGTTACAACCCTAGATAAAGCCGATGAGGAAAGGTATTACATGGACCACCGAAAGCTATATTTTTATGTAACCTAGGTGGTCGTGTGGTCTAGGGCGCTGGACACGGTGCAGGTGGTGTTGCCACAATGTCACAGAAGCAATGGTTTGAATCCCGCAGAGGGAAGAACAAAAATTTGATAACACAAATTTGAAGATCTAACATTGTTGGGCTAAATTTGAGAAGAATTTCTAAAAGGGATAAAAAAATTAAAAAATGATTAAAATTGTTCTTCTGATCAGGGGTAAACTATTAAAGACCGGACTCGGGGAATAAATAGAATCCAATGAAAAATATTATGGCTTCTTAGGTTTTCTTTGCAGCTTTGAAGTGTAAGGAACATTTTTTCAGATATCTCAACTAATAATTTTTTGTTTCCTTTAGGAATGGTAAACCAAGTAGGAACATAAATTATCTGCATTTTGACAAACTTATGTTGAAAAAAATCCATAAATATAAGAAATATTGATATGTTTAAAAATTCAAGTGGTCAGATTTTCAAAATTTGAATTTCCCAGACTGACAGATAAGGCGGAGCTTGCATCAGCTGTTTTTTGTTTTTGTTTACATAAATACCACATGCACGTGCTGATAAGTGAAAAATTCTTATCTTGCATGTGTACAGCTTTAATCTAATCTTTATTCCATTTCACAGTAATGACTTTTAAGAATTCCATTGATTCATAATAACTTGTCCAGGTTAATATTATTAATATGAAATTGGGTAATTTACTTTTAGTGAAAATCATTTAGATTTGGTAGAAACGTCCAATGTATACTAGAATAGGGAAGATATGTAATAATCACAACACTAATCCCATTTGTGACCCATATATTCTTGACATGACGGATTTGGGAACCATTTCCTAACCAATTCAAGGACACATTTTGGTATTAAATCTCTCCTGTGATACGTATATTTTCTCCTTGGTCTGTCCCTTTTAAGTGCGTCTCTCTTTCTCCTTAAATATCTTGGGTCATTCCACACCCCTCTATGAAAAAGGTTTGTCCAAAAACGTTTGAATTTATCTTTTCTAAAGAAAGAATTTCTTTCATGAGGTGCACAATTTTCATTTTCCCACCACAATTGTCTATTTTGTTCATCTGTTATACATGGGCGACATAAACAATATGGACATTCAGGTGACTCTTGGTCCTGTTCAATGTGATAATTTTCTGAATATTCATTACTTTCAGAATCGTTCACCTTATTCTTGTCAGAATAAGCCTCTTTTAAATCCCAATCATTATGAGCAAAAAAGTGATATATTGCATCTCTCTGCTCTTGTGTTACTTCGAGTGATAACACAGAAGTGACATTACTACATTCATTGTTTCCCTCCATGTTTTATAAGATGAAAATGAACTTCCAAAATCTAGGATGTGTAATCTACAACTAGGATTTCGGTTTGATTAGATTTAATAAAAGTACTTGGAAGCGTTAATATACATTCTTTTTGGTAAAATAATAATCAACAATTAAAAAAAAAATATCAGATATATTTGTGGCAAAAAATCTTTAATTTTTAATTTTCTTTATCCCAAGTAAGACCTCAAAAATGCCCTATGACAGTGATATTTTACACATGTTGTGTTTGCATATCATTGATATTTGGCGGGAATGGACATATCTGCAAGTACTAAAACTGTAACTGATACATTAGTATAGGGGTGTGAGAAATTTTTTAAGAATGATAAAGATTAAAGTTAAAAACAAAACAGCAAAATTCTTTATCATAATTTTTTTTTTTCAAAGCTCATAAAGGTTTATCTCCTAAATTTATCAAAAATGATTAACAAAATATATTACATATATATTTGACTTGAATACTTATATACCTTTCTTAAGTTAAATAGATTGATCCATATTTCAGATAAAATAACCATCAGTCTTTCTTACAGTATTTTGTATAATTATTGTTGTAAATGATCTTTGTTGAAAATGTCAGAAAGTGTGAAAAAAACTAGAAAAAGAACTCCGTGTTTTCGGATTGAAGTGTCAGGTACTGAGGAAAAGAAGGATGAAATTTTTGAAAAATTTGCTTCAATTAGACAAGAATTGACTAAAAAAAACAACAAACCTATGGGAAACCTGCAGGTTATTGAAGCTTTACTGCAAAAATGGAATGAAGAGAATGATACAAGTAACACCCAGTCAAAAGAGTTTCAAGAGGAACCCTGTCCATCCACATATATCAGATCAAAGAAAGTAGACACAAACCAACATATTTTTCTGACTGCAGAAGATTCATTTAAGAGGCTTATATTGGTTGTTGATTGGCATGCAAGATGTTGTAAAGAAAAACTTAAACCTACAAAAATGTTGAAAAAAGGACATGTTTGCAAAACAAGCCTAAAATGTAATGATAAAGAGACACCTCATGTATTTTCTTGGTCCTCCTCTCCTTATTTGCCAACAAAGGATTACTTAGTGAATAGTAGAGTGAATCATGGGATTACATGTAGTGGAATATTGCCTGCAGTCTACAAGAGATTTGCACAAGGATCAGGAATAGGGGTTATAAGTGATGAAAATCGTACATCATTTTTCAATGTTCACAGTCAGCACATACAAGAGGAGTATAAATATTCAACTGACATAGCACTTTTACAAGAGATAGCATCTTATGAAGAACTTGATAGCAAGATAGACATTATGTCAGATGCAAGACACGGCTGGCGTAAGAATGCAAAAGATACAAGTGTTGTTTGCATTGGAGAAAAAACACATAAAGTTATTAGTTGTGAATATGTTACAAAAACAATGGACCCTGTATCTCAAAGACATGAAAGACTTGGGACAGAGAAGATCTTCAACTATTTACATGAAAACGATGTAACAGTGAATGTTCATTGCCATGACAGGAATTTGTCAATAAACAAATATGTAAGGGAAAATTCAGAATGATTTTTGGCATTGTGTTAAGTCTGTAAAATCAGCATTAAAGAAGGTGTCAACTGGATCTAAATCTTCTGAGGGAAAAACATGGTCATTCCAGTTATCGGACAAGGTTGAACCTGTGGCTACCCACATGCATTGGGCTATCCAGAACTGCAACCAAGATGAAAAGAAACTGCAGAAGAGTTTATTAAATATCCTTGATCACTATAAGAATATTCACACTGACTGCCATGAGAGTGCCCGGTGTAAGGTTGATGCCAAATATGAACCGTCACGAATTGTAATAACCTCTCCAGTTGCTGAAAAACTTCTTTTAAGTGTTATACTTAATGCAACTGTATACAAATATGCAAAGGATTATGTTCTTGGTAGGGATACATTTTATGTTGAAAGTTTTAACAATGTAACAAATATTTATCAAAACAAAAGAATTGCGTTCGGTGATAGCCAATACATTGCCCGAGCCAACCTTAGTGTACTTCACTGGAATGAAAATGTTGATAGCGACTTTACTTCAGTGTCAATTAAACAAAATCACAGGATGCCAAGTAGTAAAAAAGGGAAGAAGAACTACAAAAGAGCTACATACAAATTTAGAGACAATATTTGGTCAAGATTTATGAAAAATATTTACTCAAAAAGAAACCATAGACAGTAGAACAAAAACAGTGTTTTAAATGTGATATTTCAAATAAAATTCATTTTCTGCAGTTTTCAAGACATTTGTTTTTGTAATTTATCAGAAATAATCACAGCACAAGAAATTTAATACTGTGTAATAGTTTCTGTAATTTTTTGTATTTCTATTTTTTTAATTATGATTTTCATGTAGGTTTTTACTGTAAATTGTTCATACTTTTTATTTTTCATCATTCAGTGGAATTTTAATTATACTTACAAATGTACACTTCTGTTACAAAGATACATAAAATTTATCATTCAGATACAGCCATGTGTTATTATTGTAAACAGATGATGTGTATATTTATAAATAGGATGTTGATAACAACAAGCTCCTCCCATCCCCATATAGGTTTTATTGCTTACCACCTGGTAACTTTTATAGGTCAAGTTAGGTCTTTAAGTAATTCCTCCTGGTTGGGGCACACTCATTAAAAATAGTACACCTGGTCAGAGATCTATAAATTTTAAACATCCTGTAAAACTTAAATCACAATGCCTTTTCTTCGCCAGTGGCCGAAACGTCTTACAAAATGGTTTATTTACAATAGTATGATATAAATTTGATAATCTCCATTCATCAAGGCTTATGAACAATTTCCTTAACTGTAACATGAATAAATGTAATAAAAAGTAATTATTTCAAGATCTTTCTCTTATATATTCAAACAATTATAAACAAATTATTTGTGACTTTTTGTCCTATCAAATTTGGTACTTTCAGTCCGTTTACCTTATAAAACAAGGGTAAATTTATTAAGTTGCTAGCATTATATACAAAAAGAAAGTGTTAACTGGGTTATTAACTAAACTGGACTGACACCATGCATTTAGAATGTAGGACAGAAAGTCACAGGACAAAAAGTCACAGACAAAAGGTCACAAACAAAAGGTCACAAACAAAAATTCATAGGACAAAAGGTCACAATTCTTTTCGAGATTATTTTTCTTTAAATAAGAAAACGCTTATTTTTAAAAACATTTTTGTATTTTTTTTTAACTATAATATATAAAGCAATTTTGTAAACAAAAATGTATTCTAAAAAAGCCAATGATGATAAAATATTTGTTAAGAAAACAATTTGTCTAGTTTCTTGGTACTTAAATGGCTTCATGGACCATGGTGCCAAGAAATATATCCTTAGCATCATTTATCAACTCTTATGAACAATTTCCTTAACTGTAACATGCATAAATGTAATAAAAAGTAATTATTTCAAGATCTTTCACTTATATATTCAAACAATTAAAAACAAATTATTTGTGACTTTTTGTCCTGTGACTTTCTGTCCGTCTAACTAAATTTTTACCATTCTTAAGTTAGTGTTAATAATTTTTCAGTAACCATAAAATATATCTGAAGTATTGAAAAAGTTTTGAATAATATTTAAGATATTTGAATAATGGTAGAAATTTCTAGTATATTTTATGCTATATTAAATACATTCAAATTGTTGTTCAAATTTCTAGCCAAGGGAAATAACTAAAAAATAGTTCCTAAATTGATGAAATACAATAGATAGATGCAGTAATAGGTCTAGGTTGGTTAAGACTTGGTCGAGTATGGTTCAGACTTGGTCGAGTATAGTTCAGACTAGATCGAGCATGGTTCAGACTAGGTCGAGCATAGTTCAGACTTGGTCGAGAATGGTTCAGACACTTGTAAAATGGTAAATATACTGGTTGAGTAAAGGTCGAGAACAAGTTCAGACTGTTAAGTATGGTTCAGACTACAGTCGAGTAATATCGAGGAAATTTCAGACCAATTCAGACTGGTTGAGTAAAAATCAGTACAGTCGAGTAATGATATAGACCATTTCAGACTTTTACTGTTAGCTAGCTAGCTATATTTGCACTTGACTTGGTCAAATAATATGCCAAATCTTTCAACAATTATTTTCATACTTATGAGATGTGTTGTTTCTGTTTCAGTTTCATGTATGGTGCTGTTGTGTACAGTAGAGAGACTTAATATTTGTTTTACAAACTGTATGTATTTTAAGCCATTTTTGAATTAGGGGCGGATCCAGAACCTTGATGTCTCGGGGGCACCCATAATGAAACCAAAATTAAATATTTGTTTAGATATGTATATATGCGATGGTGGTTGGTGGTAGTGGGATGGTATGTGTGTAGAAGGGGAGGGGGTTCTTCGTTTCTATATCTTTCCATTTTTTTTACCACTTCTTTTTACTCTTTGATTTTCTGCCAAATGTTCTCTTTATTCTTTATATTTCATCATACCTTTAATCTGTTTTCTATATTTTTTGGGCACATTTTGTTCTAATCTTTACATTTTTTACCATTATTCTGTAATCTGTAAACCCCATTCATACCCCCAATTCATGGTAACCCATTCATTCCCTCATACATGGTAATTGAAACTAGAAAAATGTACATATATTATTTACTGTATTATGTTATAAAGAAGGTCTTCTGAAAATACAATAGCATTTTATTAATGATTATATATATAAGGCACTGACCATTCATGTTTTTGTGGAGGAAAGAAGGTTTTTGTCGAGCCTGCAACTTTTGTTGCAGAAAGCTCGACATAGGGATAATGATCCGGCGGCGGCTACGGCGGCAGCGTTAGCTAACTTCTTAAAAGCTTAATACTTTCCAAGGTAGAAGACCTGGATGCTTCATACTTTGTATATAGATGCGATATGTTATGAAGTTTTTGTCTGTCATATGTCCATTGTCCTTGACCTCATTTTCATGGTTCAGTGACTACTTGAAAAAAAAGTTCAGATTTTATGTAATGTTAATTTCTCTCTTATTATGAGTAATAGGATAACTATATTTGATATATGCGTACCTTGCAAGGTCCTCATGCCCCTCACACTGTTTTCATCTGACCTCGACCTCATTTCATGGATCAGTGAACATGGTTAAGTTTTCATGGTCAAGTCCATATATCAGATACTATAAGCAATAGGTCTTCTATATTTGGTGTATGGAATGGCAGGTGTCATCTGACCTTAACCTCATTTTCATGGTTCAGTGGTTAAAGTTAAATTTTTGTGTTTTGGCCTTTTTATATGACAGCAAAAATTTTTTTTGCGTCGTATATTAGTATGATGTCGTCGTCGTCTGCGTCGTCGTCCAAAGACAAATTTGGTTTCCGGACAATAACTTTAGTTCAAGTGAATGGATCTCTATGAAATTTTACCAGAAGGTTCAATATCACAAATGGAAGGTTGGGATTGATTTTGGGGGTTATGGTACCACCAGTTTAGGAATTAGGGGCCAAAAAGGGGCCAAAAACGAGCATTTTTGTTGTTTCCGGACAATAACTTGTGTGTAAGTGTATGGATCTTTCTGAAATTGTACCACAAGGTTCCATATCCCAAATGGCGGGGATTGAGTTTGGTGGTAATTGCCCTAAACGTTCTGGAATAAGGGGCCAAAAAGGGGCGGGGGGGTTAAACATTTTTTTTCTGGGGGGGTTCAATACACAACAGCATAGTGTATTTCACAAAAGCAAAAAAAAAGGGGGGGTAAATTTTTTATTTTTTTGTTGGGGGTGGGAGGGGGTCAATTCGCAACAGCACAGCATAGTGTATTGCACAAAAGCAAAAAATTGAATATAAATTCAAATCATATAACCAATTCTAAGTTCTTTGACTACATTTATTCCGTGTTAGAAACCTATTATGTGTCAAATATTTAATTACAATCCAAATTCAGACCTGTATCAAGCGCGAATATTGTGTCCATTTTTGCCCCAACTGTTCAGGGTTGGACCTCTGCGGTCGTATCCAGCTGCGCTTGGTGAAGCATTTTATGTTTAAGTGCATGGATCTTTCTGAAAGTGTACTGCAATGTACCATACCACAAAGTGAAAGCTGGGATTGAGTTTGGGGGTAATTACTAAAAGGGGGTTACAAAAATATTTGCGGTGGAGGGGGATTTTTTTTTCTTAAAATTGTCCATTTTTGCATTTATTATTTCTGATTTATATTTAAAAGCAAAAAATACTGATATGGCAGGAGATACACACCAAACATCACATTTAAATTATTATATGAAGTATTGTACAACAGCACACTATTGCGCAATAGCAGGAAAACTTCAATTGCATAGTATTGTGCAATAGCAAGAAATCTTCAACTGCATAGTATTGCGCAATAGCATAATATTGCACAATGGCAAGAAATCTTCAATTGCACAGTATTGCGCCATAGCCTGAAATCTTCAATTGCACAGTATTGCAGAATAGCAAGAAATATCCAATTGCACAATAGTGTCCAATAGCCAGAAATCTTCAGTTGCATAGTATTGCGCAATAGCAAAAAATATGCAATTGCACAGTATTGTGCAATTGAAAGAAATCTTCAATTGAAAATTAATACAAATATTTCAATCCATTTCAAATTTTTAAGATTTTTTGTTGAGCCTGCGACTTTTGTCGCAGAAAGCTCGACATAGGGATAGTGATCCGGCGGCGGCTACGGTGGCGGCGGCGTTAGCTAACTTCTTAAAAGCTTTTTATTTTAGAAGGTGGAAGACCTGGATGCTTCATACTTTGTATATAGATGCCTCATAATACGAAGTTTCCGTCAATCACATGTCCAATGTCCTTGTCCTTATTTTCATGGTTCAGTGACTACTTGAAAAAAAAGTTCAGATTTTTTTGGAATGTTAAATTCTCTCTTATTATAAGTAATAGGATAACTATATTTAGTATGTGTGTACCTTGCAAGGTCCTCATGCCCATCAGACAGACTTGACCTCGACCTCATTTCATGGATCAGCGAACAAGGTTAAGTTTTCGTGGTAAAGTCCATATCTGAGATACTATAAGCAATAGGTCTACTATATTTGGTGTATGTAATGATAGTAAGGTGTACATGTCCAACTGGCAGGTATCATCTGACCTTGACCTCATTTTCAAGGTTCAGTGGTCATAGTTTAGTTTTTGTGTTTTGGTCTTTTTTTTTAATACTGTATGCAATAGGTCAACTGTATTTGGTGTATGGAAATATTTTACGATGTTCATGTCAGTCTGGCAAGTTTTATTTGACCTTGACCTCATTTTCACAGTTCATTGCTCAATGTTAGGTTTTTGTGTTTTGGTCTATTTTTCTAATACTGTATGCAGTAGGTCAACTATATTTGGTGTATGGAAATATTTTATGATGTACATGTCAGTCTGGCATGTTTTATTTGACCTTGACTTCATTTTCAAGGTTCATAGCTAAATGTTAAGTTTTTGTGTTTTGGTCTGTTTTCCTAATAATGTATGCAGTAGGTCAACTATATTTGGTGTATGGAAATATTTAATGATGAGCATGTCAGTCTGGCAGGTTTTATTGGACCTTGACCTCATTTTCATGGTTTATTGCTTATGTTAAGTTTTTGTGTTTTGGTCTGTTTTTTTTACACTTTAAGCAATAGGTCAACTATATTTGGTGTATGGAATGATTGTAAGGTGTATATGTCTGTCTGGCAGGTATCATCTGACCTTTACCTCATTTTCATGGTTGATAGGTCAATGTTCAGTTTTCCTGGTTAACTTTTTTTCTTAGATACCTTAAGCAATAGGTCAACTATATTTGGAATGAAATTTAATGTGTACATGTCTGTCTGGCAGGGTTCAAATGACCTTGACTTCATTTTCATGGTTCATTGGTCAATATAGAATTTCCATGGTTTGGTCTGTTTCTTTTATGCTATAAGCAATAGGTCATCTATATTCTGTGTATGGAGGGATTGTATTAAAGGTGTACATGTATTTCCAGCTTGGTTTATCTGACCTTGACCTCATTTTCTTGGATCATAAATGTTAATGTGATACTTGTAGTAAAACTTTATATGTAGGACTATCAACATAAAATCAATGGTCAGTATAGTAGGCGAAACATTTCAGAGTGTGCACTCTTGTTAAAAAGTTCATGGGAATTTACAATTCATTTCATCCAAAAGATAGATTAGTCTATGCCTGTTGAAACAAGGATCTGGGGTGACGATGGTTCTAACAAATATTGATGTGTTTGTGGTCATCAAACGAAAGATTTTTAATTTTTGCATCCTAGAACAGTTTTTAAAGGTAAAACGAGAAGCATTTCAAATAACAGTGTGTTCTATAGCTACTTGTCCACGGCAATGAGCTGACAAAACTGCATGTTGGCATCCCGATTTTTATACGACTACAAAAATTTTGCGGTCATATATTGGTATCACGTCGTCGTCGTCAGCTTTGGTTTCCGGACAATAACTTGAGTAAATGTCAATTTATTTTTAAAAGTTAATATTTAAAAATGCTGATTAAGGAATATTTAATTTTAGCCATGATTATTTATTATGTATTTAAATGGGTAATTATGGTTGCAAACTCTATGGGAAATTTGAATTGAAATTATGACCATATCTTGAGGGAAAGAATTTTTTTTTTTTGGAGAAAAATGGGGGGGGGGGGGGGGGGGTTCGAGGTGAAAAAAAAGGAGGGGAGGGGGGGGTAAACTCGCAACAGCATAGTGTATTGCACAAAAGCAAAAAATTGAATATAAATTCAAATCATATAACCAATTCTAAGTTCTTTGACTCCTACAGTTATTCTGTGTCAGAAACCTATTTTGTGTCAAATATTTAATTACAATCCAAATACAGACCCTGTATCAAGCGCGAATATTGTGTCCATTTTCGCCCAAATTGTTCAGGGTTGGACCTCTGCGGTCGTATCGAGCGGCGCTTGGCGAAGCAATTTATTGACCTTATTTACTAATTGATTTATCACATGTGCGTTTAAAACTATAATAGCATTATATACAACAGAAAAGCGTCTATGTGAAAAATAAAAATTTCATGTAGAAACTAATTTTGGAGCGGCATGCGGACAAAAAATTTGCCGAAGCCGTAATTTTTTTTTTTTATTGAAAAGTCATTTTCTCCAAAACAGGAGCAGGAAAATCTGAAGAACTATTAATCAAATTGGTGTAGCCTAAACATCTATTTGTACATATTCTTGAAATACCCGTTTTGGTTGGTAATTTCTTTTTTCATCAGAAGATTTCACTTGTTAATCGATCTTAATCCTGTAATATTGTATAAGAAACCAATAAAAGTATTCGTATATCCACCACTGAGAATTATGGATAGTTATGACAGCCATTAACTTTACCACAAAACTTTGAAGTGGAAGTTATATATTAGCAATAGACAAATAATTGCCAATGCTAATATCATCATTTTTTCAGTTGAAATAGTTGCTGACTTGAAAGATGTTACATGTTTTGAGCATGAAGATGTCATATTTACATGTGAAGTTACCAAAGAAGCAACTGAAGTTAAATGGTGCAAAGGGGATCATGCAATTTCTTCTTTAGGAGACGAGAGATTTAAAGAATTGAAAGAAAACCATATATACATACTCAAAATTGAAAAAGTGCAAATGATGGACAGAGGTCACTACACAATCAAATTTAAGGAGAAACTTTCAAAAGCAGAGCTTAATGTTTTCAGTAAGTAATGACAACAATTACAGATAGAAACTCTCATTTTAATTTGTGGATAAATTGAATTGAGGTTTTCAGTAAACAGATATTTAGAAATCACCCTGGCAATCCCTCTCCCCCCCCCCCCAAAAAAAAAAAAGTAGATAAAAGGTCAACATACATTTTTCAACAACAGACAACGAAGTGTCCATAAAAGATGTCGAGTTCCACACAATGTGTATATAGATATATCACGATTATGCTATAAAGGGGTTTATTTTTGTGAAGTTTTAATTTGTAATTTCAATTGCCAAACCAGTTTGCACGTTTGCATTTTACTCTTTTATATAAAAATAAGGGTATGTGACATGATTGCCAATAAAAGTCTATAAAAGGCCCTGACATGAAAAATATGAAACAATTCAATTGAGAAAACTAACGGCCTAATTTATAACGAAACAATTTACTTTAAGAAAAATGAGAAAACTAGCGGTCTAATTTATAACAAAACAAATATGAAAGACAGGAACCAACGACAACAACTGATTACATATTAACATTTGTAATTCTGTTATTTGAACATACAGGCATTTTTAAAGTCAGTGATCTCCCTTTCATAGTAACGCAGATTTATTTTCTTGTCCTTTATGATTATCTCCCGTAAAGATCATTTATGTGAAGAGACATTTTGGCAATTTTTATCTCAATTGGTAAATCAGCAAAAATACAACCTTTTGGAAAAATTTTCACTTTACCGTATCAGGGATTATATCCATGATATTGTTGGTTATTCTAATACGACTGAAAGTTTTTGCAGTCGTATAATGTTATGACGTCAGCATTATTGTTTCCAGACAATAACTTGAGAATCAGCGTATGGATTGCTATGAAATTGTATCAAAAGATTCCATACCACAAAAGGAGGGTTAGGATGGATTTTAGGAGTTATTGTCTAAATGTTTTTGTATGAGGGGCCAAAAAGGGGCAAAAAACAAGAATTTTTCTTGTTTCAGGACAATAACTTGTGTATAAGTGTATGGATCTCTATGAAATTGAACCACAAGGTTCCATACCTCAAAAGAAAAGTTGGGATTGATTTTGGGGTTATTACCCAAAAAGTTTAGGAATTAGGAACAAAAAGGGGTAAAAAAACTAGGAATTTCTGGTTTCTACATACAGAATGTGGCTGGGTTAAACTAGTTTGTTTGCGCCAAACCCTCACTCTAAACTAGGATAGTGGTGTGATAGTACAACATAAGAACAAAATATAAAAATCGGTTGAAAAGGGATTAACTCATTAGATTGATACAAAGTAGAATAACATCTAACAAAAACACAAACTCGACATGGCAGGGTATTTATACATCCCCACAACAAAAAAGACACTAAGTACAGATCTGAGAATACTTGCAGTAACTGACAGCTAGTTAAAATCCAATAATTACTAATAAAAAAATCAAGCATATTAGACCAACATATCAATCAGTACACATCCAACATCCAATAGATTTTGTGTAAAGACGTCATTAATAGTCAGAGAAAAACATGACCTTATGCAAAGCCAAAATACAGGTATTGACAGATTGTAGAGCCTTGAATGTATATAAAAAAAATATTTAGTTTGATTTTGATTTACTGATAACAAAATCAATATTTATACCAATAAAAACAAAATTCGAAGATCTTATTACAATGTTGAATAATTAGCCTTTTAGAATAAGTTTTAAAAAATTGATAAGCTTACCCTGATCCTATCTAGTATTCTGTGCTCTCTAAACAACATTTCCATAAAAAATTAGATGTGCTATCCTGTTTGAAATAAGTTTTCTACAGGTATAGCCAAATTTCCAAACCAAATCTTTGTATTTATGGAAGAATTTAGTAAAGGTCTTAATTAGTGGTTACGAAATCCCTTTTTAATAATTTACCAGTAATACAAAGATTAATAAGAAAATAAGGAGATGAGGTATGATTGCCAATGAGACAACTATCCATCAAAGTTCAAATAAAGTGGATGTAAGCAATTTTGGGCAACCATACGACTTTCAACAATGAGTAAAACTCATACCGTATAATTGGCTATAAAAGGCCCCGACATGACAAATATAAAACAATTCAATTGAGAAAACTAACGGCCTAACTTATAACAAAACAATTAATGAAAAACAAATATGACAGACATGAACCAAAGACAACCACTGAACCATAGGCTCCTGACTTGGGACAGGCACATTAAGAATGTGGGGGGTTAAACATGTTTGTGAGCGCTCAACCCTCCCCCTTACCTGGGACAGTCGTGTAATAGCACAACGTAAGAACAAACTATAAATAACAAATTAGCGGTGGTCCGAGGTCCGTGACCTTCCACTGTTGCAGTTGGACTTTCGTTTTGGTTACTAGCTACGCCCGACGGACCTTCGATATAAAGGAAATAAAAATGATCTTTGCTGACCTTTTTAACCATCTGTATCGTCATTTTCAAGCCATATTATTACTGAAATTGAGATAAAAAATTGTTTCATCCCTGACCTTGCCGACCAGTGATAAAAGTTATTTTTAACCTTGTATTTCTTGGAATAGTTGCGAGAAGTCACGCGACAAATCATTTAATCATTTAGACATTTTCGAACAAACTGAGTCCGTTTCACTTTGGTGTCACGTCTTCCAAGAGAAAGCCTGAAGATCATGAACGGTCTTCAACCACAGGCACTTGTTTCTATCCGTGGGAAGGTCGACTATCCATAAATAAGAAGGATATTCAACCTTCCCATGGATAGAAACAAGTGCCTGTGTCTTTGACGTCTTCAAAAGAAATCAAATGAAGATCTCTCTCACTAAAGACCAAAAATGCGATCGTGAAAAACGGGAACGGACATTTAAGCCCCACTGGAAAATCGATCGAACCGTGGCTATATTTTGATGAATCAACTGGTCTTATGTCATGCACATACTGCCAGAAGTTCCCTACCCATTCAGAAAAAGAAAGTAAGGGGAACACAAAATCTTAAAATAGACCCAATAAAAACATACGAAGTGACACCCCAGCATTTATCTTATCCATGAAAGTGACCCAAATTTAATTTAACACTGCATACAGTATTGCAGAAATGGGAAACCTTTCAGTGACTATGAATTTATTCTTGAAATCCAGTGCAAAAATAGTGTTGATGTGTAAGCAGTATTTCAATATTGAAGGTTGTAAACTGTTTATTCGCTTAACAGCCCATTATATGAGAAACGAAACAGCACATGCAGTTCAAGTATGATGAAACAAACTAACCTTACTCCAAAAGCACTTTAATTTTGTATCTTACTGAGTTATGAAATATTTCATGTAAATGTAGGACCTGGGATTTAGGTTGTGGACCTTTTAGTTTGGAGTGTCAAAGGTCCTTGACCTTCCAGTACCAAATGTTAATTTGAACCCCTGCAAGTTGAGATTAATTTCTCTGGCATTTGACACTTTGATTTTACACTACAATCTCACCAGGGGACATACTAATCTATTCTTAATCAGATACATGTTGCAATTATTCACTGTTTGTGGTGAAAGGCAGGATAATTTCAGATCTCATAAAAATAATTACACATTAATTAGTATATTAACTGAAGGTCAGTGATTACAGTCTCCACCACTAGATGATTGATGTACCCAAATCTGTGTTTTAAGCCATATGCATGGTCTTTGTGAAATCAGTTTCGTGGTTCAAAGCAGTCAAACTATGTTCAACTTGCCAGTTTAACAGTGCTAGAATTCAATTTACCACCCACCAACACCTTCAATAATGTTCATGACATGAGAAACATCTCAGCTTTTACCAGTGATATTTTTTATTTTTTTCAACTTGTTTTCCTTGATGGAATTTTATCACTAAAATTTCAATCATCCCCAAGCATTTCAGGGACTTTTATCAAATTTATTCCAGTGCCAGATTGATAGACCCTGCTACTTGCTACTTGTAATAGCACCACATGGGCTATCCCCCATGCAGACCTTGCACACATTGGCTGCAGATGAGACGTCTAGTCTCATCTCCTTGGTGGAGAACCCTCGCTTCACATTCCTGGCTGGCATATTATCGGGCAGGCAGGCATCACACTACAGGTTGAAATTTGACTTGCTCGGCAGGAACTCCTGAATTCTTAATTATGCTGAGTGTTTCTCAAAGGCCAAAATATTTTGTTACTGAATTAATTGTATTATTAATAAATATTATTCATTCAAAGATTCTGTCTGCTTTGAGCCAGTATGATTTATTGAGACTATGTTTTGGTTTACGCACAGATACCTCCTTTCGCATTTATGCTAACATTAAATTATTCAGAAATTGGTTTAGATCTACAATGCTTAATTTCGCTGATGGTGAGTGAATAAAATTTTGACTTGTTACAATCTACTTTTGACTTAAAACTCACCATTGGGGACTTTGTGGATTATGATATTCAATTTGAGTTTGGTTATCAGAAATAAGAAACAATGGATCTTAAGGATTTGGTTTATTATCATACAAACAGAAAATTATATGCATATTTACATACCAAGAGACAATTACAGATAATAAAACACCACCTATAAAAACTTCAAATAAAAGTGAGAATGGAAATGGGAAATATGTCAAAGAGACAACAACCCGACCAAAGAGCAGACAACAGCCGAAGGCCAACAATGGGTCTTCAACGCAGCAAGTATGTTTACATTATGGGACAACAAATAACACAGCACAAAATGTACACCATACACAACTACAAAGACAATTTTGTTTGTATAAACTATTGGTTAATCTATTTAAACTTTTGTCAGTTCTATTATCCCATTGAATAAATACAATAGCTATTGTTCTCTGTGTAGTTTTTTCACGGGGACCTTTAAATTTCTGCTAAGAGAAATCCATCACTCATTGATTTATTTACCGGAGTAAAATAATTATCTTCTAAAAGATAAAAATATATGTTTTACACTAACAAAACTGCATGTGATGTTGTATTTATTCAATATCAATAATATATTTTCAATCTGTTGAATGTAA